CCCCTGCTTTTTTTAATTTAAAACCGTCAAATTTAGAATCCATGTTGTGGAGGATTTATTTTCCAGTAGTTACTGGTCTCGTGCTCGGTGGCATTAAGGGTTAGGTTACCAGAGAAGGGGACAGAATCCAGGGCCCTGTTCTCACAGACAGTAAAGTTTAGTGCATTCTTTTTATTAAACAGCCTATTGTCAGAGGAAAGACTAAGTCTTTAAGAGACCTGTGCCTTTGGGCTATATGAAAGTCAGTTATAAACCTAAATCTTAGCTTCCTTAAACCTTCTCATATGACCTTGTTTTCTTGGGTGCTTGACAACAATTCTGAACAGGACGTTATGGAGAGTCCACAGCAAGAAGGATATCTGATTACAAGTTCCTCATGGAAGAGCAGAAGCATGTGTCCTATCTGCGCTACAGCTAACAAGTAAACCGCCAATAAACAGCCACTAAACTCTTGCCGACTAACAAATGGCCGCAAAAGCTTCCTGTTTCCATGAAAAAAGCAATGCCAGCATCCAGGTTCCTCACAATGCTAGCTCTCAGTGACAACTGGAACTTCTTTAAGAACCAACACTGGTCACAAGGACATTGCAAACAAAGACTGAATTTTAAAGCGCAGCATTCCATTTTGGCAGAAATAGTCCACCTTCATTTATTTATAGATAAGAAAATTGGAGCCCAGAACAGCTAAGATAGGCGGCAGTTGTAGACAGAGCAGTTTCTCCCTGCTCCACAGATCTTACTTAACCCTTGGACCCTTTCTCCATTGGAAATAGGAACCTAGTTACTAAATTTTAGTTGCAAACTCATTTTCTTTGGAACATAATTAAGTTCAGGATCTACTACCTAGGGAAACTTATTGGCTAAGGCTTCAGAAAGTTTAGTTCTAGTGAAAATAGTCATCTATTTTTGTCAGTGGATCAATATCCATTCAGTGGGAAAGAGGCAGACTCTTTAACAAGGGGTGTTGGCTGCTCCCTGGGGGAAAAAGATGAGTCTTTTTGCTCCTGTAAAGATTGACAGCCTCGGAAAACCCTGCGAACAGTTTCACTCTGCCCTCTAGGCTCACTATGATTCACAATCAACTCGATGGCAGTGGCTTTGCTCTTTTGGGTTAGGTAAATGCTACACATACGCAATTTGCAACAGTAATAATAAGAAAAAATATGTGAGTGGTAAATATATGGGTGTGGGAAAGTATGTGGGGTACATGCCCATATAGGTATATTTGTGAGCATGTGTATATACATGTTTATATGTACTGCATATATAGTCATATATACAATGAAGCACCAACAGGCCACAGGTAAGATACTTTCTAGATACATCCAAACACCTGTGGTAGTTACATAAGCGGTCAATTTGAGACTTAAAAGTGAAGGGGTGGAGTTTAACTTGTTAATCAGCTTGCAGCTTGATGACCTCTTTGGAGGCGCTATGGAAATAAATAGCTCGCTGAAAGTGGGGCACATGCTCACTCCCTGAAAGACATTCCTATCTTGACACTTGGAGCTACACTAGAGCACTGGAGCTGAAGGAGCCACGTGGAGACCCCTGCCAGCACTGAGATGCTTCCACTGCTACTGGATCCACAAGTCTTTCCACCCACTGGCCTGTGAACTTCCTGCATTCGGCATCACTGCCGGTGAGTCTGAAGAGGAATTTATAGATTGGAATTGGACATACAGGCTAATATCAGACTTATGGACTTGATCTGGACTGGGCTGGGAAGTTTTCTCCATATTCAATTGCTCTTGAATATAAAACTCTTTCTTGTTTTTTAAAATTGTTTTATTAGGGGCTCATACAACTCTTATCACAATCCATACATACATCAATTGTGTAAAGCACATTTGTACATTCATTGCCCTCATCATTCTCAAAACAGTTCCTCTCCACTTAAGCTCCCAGCATTAGGTCCTCATTTTCCCCCTCTCTCCCCCCTCCCCCCTCCCTCATGAGCCCTTGATAATTTATAAATTGTTATTTTGTCATATCTTGCCCTGTCCGACGTCTCCCTTCACCCACTTTTCTGTTGTCCATCCCCCAGGGAGGGAGTCACATATAGTTCCTTGTAATTGGTTCCCTCTTTCCAACCCACTCTCCCTCTACCCATCCAGTATCGCCACTCACACCACTGGTCCCGAAGGGATCATCCGCCCTGGATTCCCTGTGTAAAACTCTTTCTTATACACATATGAGTCTCCCTTGATTTGTTTCTCTAGTCTACCCGGACTAACACACACACACCTCATGGAATTGGTTTGCTGAGTTTAAAGCCTCAGCACCGTAGTTTCCTGAACAACTAGGCTAATTGTCATAATTTAGTTCATAAAGAAAATGTTCTACCTGCTAGCGTGGTGATTAGCTTTGAGATCTTAAGAGCTTCAGAGTGGCCATCGATGATACAGGTTATTGGTCTCTTCCCATGCGGAACAAAGGAAAATGAAAGGAACCAGAGGTTCAAGGAACAAATCAGGCCACTGGCCCAATGACCCACACGAATCACAACCTCTTGGAACCTGAGATGAGAAGCATCTGATGGTGCCCCGCTACCACTATCAACCTCGCGGACCACGGCCACAACAGAAGATCCCCCTCAGAATGCAAGTAAAATGTAGAACAAAACTCAGATTCTTAACAGAGACTGGAATGATTGGTTTGATAGAGACTAGAGGATCCCCTGAAATGATCTCCCTAAAATACCCTTTCACCTAAAACAGAAGCCGCTCTCTGAGACCACCTTCCAGCCCCCTAACAGATTGGCTTGTAAAAGAAACGGTGACACTCGTAAGGAAGATGCCCCCATAAGCACTCAGCGACTGAGAGCAAATGGTCCACTTGCAGCCAAAGTCAACCAGGAGAAAGCCAGGGGGCCAGAGACACAGGATGGATGGGAGGAGGGCCCGCGGGACGTGGCAAGCGTGCTGGCACATTTGGGGGAAGTCATAACAGCCTGTGTAGGAGTCATGCAAAGGGAATCGAATTTGCTGCTTAAAATACCAATTCCCCCCCTCGCCTCACCCCATCCCTAAATATACAATCCTCGCCATCACCTTTATCTTCAGAGTAAAAGTAAACATTAGGAAACGCCATTTGTAACCCACTGAGCATCCAAAATCCAGTTCCAAAGCCAGAACTTTCCCCCCTCAAGTAATTGGGCCCGTTCACATACCGGCCGGCCGTGAATGCTTTCATAATACAGCAGCGCTTTCTGCAGAGCCACTTTCTCGTTAGCGATCTGGTCTTTGGTCATGTCCTGTGTAAACACCGGGAGCAGCCATGAAAGAGGGGAACACATGTATTAGTATTTCAGCTTTGCTCTCAGGCTAACAAAATTTCCCAGGGAAAACAGAACAAAATCCACATACAAGAGTTCTGTCCATCTCTCTCTAGAATCACAGAGGACTTGGTTATCATGGGAGGCTTCAGAAAGCTGGGGGAAAAGCAGAATGATATGATTCTACCCTTGCTCCAAATACAGAAAGCACAGCAGTCAGCCTAGACTGGACCACTAGCCGTAAGGCAGGCTGAGTACTGCGTGCAGCAAGGCACCTGGGGCTAATGTCAGGTTACTCAGTCCCAAAGGTTTGTCTAGAATCCTTCCACCTCAGGGACGCCCTAAAATATTTATGAAACTAAACAAGTCCATTCTGCAAGGCATGAAATCGAGTCTTCTGCCTTTGGTTTGTTTGTAGCACAAACCCAAATAGCACCGGTCAAGAGACACTGCAGTTGTTTGTCTGCGCTGCTCCTCTAGAAATCTAAGAGCGCTGGCTTGAGGGTGTGGGAGGCCTCAAAGGATGCCTGTGGCCTGGTCTAGGTGCCTGTCCCCGGGGCTCAGGATCCGCGGGGCCTGCACAGGCTCACTGTACCTTTATGTCCTCTGGCCGGCTGCTTTCGGCCCGCTTCTCCTGGAGTTTCCTCTGGATGGATTCCAGTGTGGCTTCAACGCTGGGCTTGACGGCTTTATCTACCACTTCTTGCTTCTTCTCTTCTTCTCTTTCCAGCTGGGAACCGAAACTCTTGGGGAGGGTGTTGCTCCGCTGCCGCATCCGGGGGGTCAGGTCCTCTTCAGACAGCTTCAGTTTAGATTCTAGATGAAAAGATGTCAGGGTGGAAACCCACGAGAGTGGATGTCGGCTGAGACCCAATTGTTTTTCTGTGGTGTCAGTAATTACTGCGCCCCACCAGTTTGCTCCCCCCATCCCCCAGAGACTCCCTAATTATAATATCAGTGGAAATCTTCAGGCTATTATGTAAAACCCGAGATAATGATAGTATCATCTTGGGTTCACCTGGTGCGTTTCCCTAACGCTTACTCCTGAGAAAGCGTCATTTCTTTCGCCATCCATTCTTTACCCATAAGCTGCTCACTGTTCTCAGGATGCGGCAGATACCTTGTTACCTTCGTCTCTATCTATAGGCCAAATGAGGAGCCCTGGTGGCGTAGTGGGTTGCAAGTTGGGCTGCTAAACACAAGGTCAACAGTTTGAAACCACCAGCCGCTGCATCAGAGAAAGACAAAGCTGGGTAAAGAGTACAGTCTTGGAAACCCACAGGGCCGCCCCTGTGCTATCCGCTCGTTACGAGTTGGAATTAACTGGATGGCAGTGAGTTTGGTGGTTTGGGTATATGGGTGAAATGCCCAACTTCCAGCCAACTTTGCCTGTATGATTTATATACCTCACTCGGAAATTATTTTCACCGTGGATTTGATTTAGCTGTGCTTATGCCTTTCCCCTAAATGATAGCAAGCCCTCTGAGGGACAGGACGGAAACCCTTCAGGGAGTTTTCTCTGTCTGCGGGGGCTCCAAAAAGTTCCAGGAAAAATCCCATCTTTTCATTGCATTTTCCCACGCGCTTTTTGAAGGTTCCTTGTATTTCTCTGTTGTCTCCTCAGCTAACAACAAACAAATGGAGCTTTAGATTAAATGGGCCTTTGGTGAGTGGTCATTTGAAACTATTGCTAATGTTATGATTTAGGGAACTGTAGGGGTCTGGCAAGGAGCCACTGCTGGCACAGCAGGTTATGCACCAGGTTGCTACTCACAAGGTGGGCAGTTCGAACCACACATCTACATTGTAGGAAAGAGATGCAGTAGTCTTCTGTAAAGAGTTAAAAACCAAACACCAAACTCTGGCATCAAGTCAATACTGACTCATAGCGTCCCCACAAAAAATGGTAGAACTGGCCTTGTGAGTTTCCAAGGCTTTAACTCTTTACAGGAGTAGAAATCTCTGTCTTTCTCCCATAGAGAGGCTGGTGTTTTTGAACTACGAACCCGGCAGATTGCAGCCCAATGCATAACCGCTACACCACCAGGGCTCCTTGTAAACGAGCCTCTTAGAACCCATGGAGACGTTCTACTCTGAGCTATAGCATTGTGATGGGTGAGAATCAATTCAATGGTGGCAAAAGAGAGATGGTGCGGAGTTTACGTCTAATTGATCTAGGTCATCCAGTGGCTGCGATCAGGGGTGGGGGTGAGAGCAACAGAATGAATCTTCAAGGAGTCTATCTTCTCAGGGCTATCTTGGGATGAAGGCAGATGGTGGATTTTGCATCTACTTACAGTGTAGAAACAGCTTACCATTCCTGACCTTTACCTACCTTTCAGCTGTTTCCGGAATTTGGCAAGGTCGTTCGTCCATCTCAAGACCTCTGGATTGGCTGCTTTGTCACTGTGGGAAGGCTAGGTAAAGGAAGTGGAGAGTCAATGTTTTGGAACTAGGGCAGGAAAGAGAACGGTTTCCTGAGCAAGTTCATTTTTAACAGAAAGGAAAAGCCGGGTCTCGTCTCATCTCTCTGAACAGAAACCCACCCTGGTCAATCATAATGAACTTCACAGGTGTGAATCCATTCCCCAGATGACGAGAACTGCTAAGGACAGCATTGCCAGGCAAAAGGTGGGAACCCACCCAGAGTCATCTTAGAAGACAGGCCTCGCGATTTCAATTTCTCTCCGTAAGATCAGAGCCTTGAAAACCCGGTCGAACAGTTCGACTCTGCACGGGCCACCAGGAGCCCGACTTGACCGGGTAGTCACAGCCAACCCTTTCTAGCTAGCCGTTGGATGCTCCTAGAAATGCCTTGGAGGCAAAATGGTGGGGTGTATGACCAAGGTCCACTGTCCGATGGTCGCCAGGGCCTTTTGCATTATTTTTAGGGTTGAACTTGTGAGGCTAACGGAGCAGAAAGCAGAGAGGAGTGTTTGACACTGCACCCACCATGAAAAAGCCCTTCTTAGCCAACTCTTCCAGAGCTGAGGGTAGAATGAGGTCAGTACACATGAAATTTGAGAAGAAGATCACTTTGAAGTAAGTTTTAACCAAACAAAAGACTTTATTCAGGGATGTTTTTTCCTGCTCCCCCCACCCCCTCCCCTCACTCTTGCTCACTGATAAGTCTACAAACTGTAGACTCAAGCTTTCCATTGATTCATGAAGACTAACTCACAAGAGAAAAATGCTGATCCCGGGTTCAGAGTTATGGATGTTTACCACCCACTTTCTATTGCCTTTTGGTTTCAAAATTCCCTAGTGATCTCCCTTACCCTGGTGACCTTGCCTAAGCACTTCTCAGCACTGGTGTCATGCCCGCGCCCGGAGCAGGCACTTACTCGGTACTTCTTCTCTTCTTCAAATCTGTCTTCAAACTTTCGAATCTTCTTCTTGAGGCTCTGAATCCTCCGGGTGAGCTGGGCAGGCGTCAGGTCCTCTTGCTCATCATCGTAGGAACCCAGTGAGGAGCTCCGCTGCCTGTGAAGGGCAGGGCTTGGGTCAGCTCTCCTACAAGCCAAGTCACTGCCCTCTGACTGACACGGGCTTTCAGGGGCTGGTGGGGGAAGATGTGGGCACCCTATGGTGGGAGGAGAGATGTCAAGACCATCTCTGTCCCCTCGAATAAAACAAAGTTGCCTAATCATGTTGGAAATATTAATCTCAAAATTTTAAATTATTTTGGTGACTTTGAACTATACATGTCCCCACCTATTACACATGTGATATTTGTAGCTGCAGGTGACAGCTAGAAGTATCAGGCATATGATCAGTCATTCTGACATGCGTGCCAGGAGGCCTACGAGGGAAATCTGAGAGCCTTAGAAAGAGGTGCTAGTGGACATTCTATATGTGCTGGTGCAATTGGGCCACATTTCAACTACAGCAAAAGTGCAACCCACCCTGTGGCCTGGGGCGGAGAATATTCCCCCTCAGAACTGAAATGATCGTAATAAAAGAAGTGACTCTTCCTCCCCTTTCTACCGTGGTGAGCTGGTGCTGGTCAGGAGGGCAAAGCCACACACCTCATGAAAGAATGGGAATTGGGGGGCGACGGAGGCACTTCTGTGTCGTCCAGGTATTGCCTGCTCTGCCCGTAGGCGTAGAACCTGGGCGAGAGCATGGGGTCGCTGTCTTCCTCGAGGAGCTGACTAATCAGGCGGCCAGCCTGCGGGGAGAGGTGGGCTTCGTCCGAGGTGAGGTTCTCCCGCTGCCACTCGGAGTAAGTCGGGCCGGACTCTGGAAAACAACAGTGGCCGCAGGTCAGCATTGCTCATCAACGCACTGTGCTTCCCCACGTCTTGGGGGGCTTTCAGAGCCTGGAGGCTGTCTGTTGAATGATTCCTCACTTTAAATGTAAGGGCCAGGCGAGGACACTGTGCCCCAATCCAAGCCACCCATATAGCCGGCAATTATTATCACCTGTCTTCATTCCCATTTGCTAACAAGGGAGAAATCAAAAGGGCTTCCCTGGGGACCAGGAGCCTTGGTGGCCTCGTGGTCTGCCAAGCACCAAGTCAGCAGTTCAGAACCAAGGAAGGTGACAGGGTAAGGTCTAATTATATTCGCTACCTGATTCACCTCATCTCAGTAGAGTCCTTCCTCACAGACAGGCCCCTTCCAGCAGTGTGGTGAGGCTTTCCACCCCCATGAAGAGTCACAATCCCAGAATCCCACAGGGCCCTTCCAGGCTGGCATACAGGGTCGCCCTGCGTTGGAATCTACTCCTGGGCAGTGAGTATGAGTCCCCAGAGACAGCCTTGAAGGAGGCAAGCTAGGGGGCTGTAACAAAGACTTTCTCACTGAGACCCCTACTGAAAAGTCAAGCAGGTGGGGGCAGGGAAGATTTCCTGTATGAGTGACATGCCAGGCATCCACGTGACTAAGGATGAAGCTGAGAAATTAGATCAATCTCTAAACTCCTTTTTTTTTAGGGGGGTGGGGGTGGGTTTGCAACCTCAGCTCAGTCTCGTTCATTCTGTAAACTGTTTTGTGTGCTTCTGCTTAGCGCCTGGGATCCACATGTTTAAGACTCATGCTTTTTGCATGTGCAGTGTCAGCAGTTGCCCAAGACTGTAGTCACATAAGATGAGGCTGTCAATTAGTCAGAAAAAGCAAAGACGATCACAATTCAAAGGATAAATGAGCACAAATTGTTTTAAGGAATCTCTAAATACAACACACTCAAGCACAAAATCCATACGTGTCATTCTGGGAGAAGCCAGGGTAAAGTTTACATGTATTTACTACAAGACTCACCTCACGACAGTCCTTTCCTCATCAAAAGTTCTAGGCAGCGGAATGTACTGCTAGATCTCAAATGATACATGGAATACCATTTGCAATATACTCAACATAAAATAACTGTTATGCTTCAAATTCACTTGAGGATTGTAGTAATTTACAACATACTGGAGTTTGGTCATGACCTTCACTTTTGGAACTCCTGGAATTTGAATCATAGAACTGCTGTTTCTTCAGCTATTACACAATTATATTAACTGCCTCATCATTTTGGGTTTAAAAAGAAGACTGCATTATAACTGTGGACCATTAGAGCCAGGTGAGGCTTGATAGATTGATCTAGTGATGCCCCGGCATTTGAATTATGGCTAAGAATGGTGAAAGTACCATGGACTGCCAAAAGAACAAACAGATCTGTCTTGTAAGAAGTTGAGAAACGATGTACAAATGCGCTTTACACAATTGATGTGTGTATGGATTGGGATAACAGTTGTATGAGCCCCTAATAAAATGTTAAAAAAAAAAAAAAAAAAGAAGTACAGCAAGAATGTTCCTTAAGGCCGAGATTGTGAGAATTCTTTTTAAAATACTTTGGGCATGTTATTAGAAGAGATCAGTCCTTGGAAAAGGACATCATGCTTGGGAAACTTGGAGGGGAAGCTAAGAAGAGGAAGATCCTCAACAAGGTGGATTGACACAGTGGATGCAACAGTGGGCTCAAACCTAAGAGCAATTGTGAGGATGGCTTGGGATGGGGCAACCTTTTGTTCTGTTGGACAGAGGGTTTCTATAAAGTGGAACCAACTCGACAACATGGAACAACAACAACAACAGCAGTGATTCTCAACCTTGGCTGTGTATTAGATTCACGGAAGGGGATTTAAGTAACTACCAATACACAGGGTCTCACCCCTCTCAATTAGACAGAATATTTAGGTGAGGACACAGATATGCAATGAAATCCACTGTCATTCAGTTGATCCTGATTCACAGTGGCCCACATACAGTTTCTAAGACTATAAACTTTTACAGGAACAGACAACATCATCTTTCTGCAGCAGAGCTGCTGGTTGTTTGAACTCCCCAGACTTGCAGTTAGTCTAACCTTCAGTGCCTAACCAAAGTGCCACCAGAATGCCTTCACATATGCAACACACACACACACACACACACACACACACACACACACACACACACACACACCTTGAGAAGCTGTCCAGGTGATTTTAATGTGCAGAACTACACGTTATCTTTATTCCCAGATCCCCCAACAGAATGTAGACAAAGACATGGAAATGCAAGAAGGCTTAGAGATTTGCCTAAGAATCAATGACAATGGATGGGACCTGGACCCTCTCCTGATTTCCATCCTGGTCTAAATGCAATTCACCAAGTGTTTCCCTAACAAAGACTGTGGGAAACTTAAAGATGCCCACAGCATCTTAGGAGAAAGAAGCACTTACATTCAAAAAGCTTAAACCTCCGGGAATGAGGTCCACAGTTTTTCAAATTTTAAAGAAAACCAAATCATGTAGGGACAGAGGTGATGACGGGAATACTGGGGAACAGAGAGCAGCATGAAAAACAAATTCTTAGCAACTGGGACTCAAAAAGAGTCAAACGAGTATGCAGGTGGCGCCAAAGCTGCTCCATCCTTTGCAGGCATGCTGTTGGCCTGCACCTCCTAAATAGCAGGGTTCAGATATGAGCAGCCCAGATTGGCAAACACAGAGTAGTGAAAAGCAAAAACACGTTCAAGAGATGAAGGAGAGAGAGCACGAGGAGAAGAAAGGAATCTTTGCGGGTGGGGGTTCCCTCTTCAGTTTCAGAAAACAGAACTAATAAACTGACCACATTGCACCTTCGATTTCATGATATTGCCTAAGGCCACAGTCATTTTCTACAGGGATTAGGTCTATTGGGCCAGGCCAGGGAAAGGGCTGGCATGGCCAGGACAGAAAGGCGAAGGAGCACAACAAGCCAGGGGAGCGGGGGCAGGGGAGGGCAAACAGGTTTATTGGGCATAGAGGGCATCAGGAACACTAAGTCTGCTGTTGATACAGGCACACGGCTCTGCTGGCTAGTTTGACATTTCTACTCATGGAAACGTCCTTTGAGAAGGAAATATGAATATGTATGTGGTCGTGTGATGCTTTGTGGCTGACAAACCTAGAGTTTTGTACTTGTCTAGAGGAACGCTGTCAGAGGGGAACACTGGTGGCCTAGTGGTCATGTGTTGGGCTGAAAGCCGCCAGGTCAGCAGTTTGAAACCACTAGCAGCTGCTCCTTGAGAGAAAGACGGGGCGGGGCGTTCTATTTCCGGGAAGAGTCACAGCCTTAGACACTCACGGGGACACGTGTACCTGCCCTATAGGGTCACTAGGAGTCAGAATCGGCGCCATGGCAGGGAACTAGGGTTGTCACTGCCAAAAAACCCCAGTGGGTTGTGTTCCCAGTGTCACGGTGGTCGATATGAAGGGCAGGGCTGAGTCCCTTCTGGATAAGGTCGTGAGACGTGTAACTCCATGTAACTTCAGCAAAATGAGGAGGGGTCTGCATGTAAAACAGAAGTGACGTGTCTCTCCCATGCCACAGTCATGCTTAGGATTTCCCCCTTTCCCTTTACTCTTTACAGTCATCTCACCGCAAAGAGTTACGAACTTGCTTGTAAATGTGGTACAGTCTAACTAAACAATCAATACGATGCACCCCTTGCCAGTTTTAATTTGGAATGATCTAATCACACTCATGATCTAGGCTCACTCATGTTTTGGCACTCAACTAGAAAAACAAGCACAGAGCAAGGACAAGAGGGCGTCCGCCAGTCTGTCCAAAGGCATTACCTGCCGAGCAAACCAGTGTCTGAATTCGCTGGTCTCAATGTTATCTACTAACCACTCCCACCTCCTGGTTTGGGAAATCTCTTTCTACTTTAACCTAACTCAAGAGCCATGACACTGATAAGGACATTGCAGGGAAAGTATTCAAAGGGGAAGAGCAAAGCTCTGCAGCTTCCAAATGGACTTTCATCTTCAAGCACCAAGCAACACGGACGTGTGTTCTTAGCTCGGTCAGGATTCTCTGGGGACAGCAGTTTTCAGTTGAGCCACAAGCCTTTGTCACTTAACTCTGTGCGGACATATGGCACGTCTTCCCCTTAAATATTAATCCACTCAGGTCAGCTGACACCACCACAGAAAACAACAGATAAAAAGTGAATGCTTGCAATTCAAGTAATACAGCAGATTAGGTCTTGGGGGTGGATCGATTCACCTACGACAGTGCACATGAAAATAAAGGAAGTCCTCGAGACAGAGAGGGACAGTAATGCTAACACGATCATTGGACTTAGCTAGGCTCTACCTGGCTGGTGGTGTCTACTTACTGCACAAAATTGCCTCCTCAGATGATTTATTTCTAAGAAATCTGCACAAAATTAAGGGGGCTGATGGTTTCCACATTTTATTTCCAAGTATATATTATTTAGGGCCATTGCTACTTGGCATGATGTCGTAACTCTCTTTGGAGGCGGTCACTCCGGTGCTGGGAGACAGTTGCACACGCGGAGACAGAAAGGTATGCGTCTCAAGGGAAGGGGCTTTACGAGGGGTGGCAGGAGAAAAATAAGGAGACCTTTTTCTGAGCCTTTTCCTCTCCCAAAGAAAAAAAACAACCCCCTTACCATCAAGTTGATTCTAATTCATAGGGACTCCATACAGGGTTTCTGAGACTTTAAATTTTGATGGCAGCAGCCAGCCTAATTTTTCTCCCACAGAGCACCCGGTGGGTGTAAGCCCCTGACCTTGCAATCAGCAACCTACTTCTATCTGTATATCTTGCTGCAATTGGTTTCACATTTGTAGTTTGAATCAGTGCCAAGTTTATTTTCTCCTGGAAACAGGCCATTTTGTTTGTTTCTTTCTGAAGCTATAAAAAAGGGGTATGGGTTTTAAGTGATTGGATTTACTGCTTTCAGTTTAACTCCTCTTTATTCAAAGATTATTTCTACTATGCTTATAACTATCTTACTGCAAAAATGTATCGTGGAAATTTAAAATAACACCTTATATATTTGAGTATAAGCTGACCTGAATATCAGCCAAGGCACCTAATTTTACCACAAAAACTGCATTAAAACTGTGCTGAAAAACTTGGCTTATATACAAGCATATACGGTAGATCATTTTTAAATGGTCACTGAAAATAGTAACAAAAATGATCAAAACTGACCTTGAATTGTACCCATGTAGATTTTTACACATGCAAATTCAATAACCAATGGCAGTAACTGCACTCCCCTCAACACACACACACACACACACACACACACACACAAAGAAGCTATGTTATACATTACATGGATAATACAATTCCCATTCCTAAAGCTATTGAAATGCAATGTATTTTTCCCCAGCCATCTTTTATATTCCATATACCTTCCCCTATACAAATTAAGACTGCTTGTTTCTTTAATATTATCACTTACCTTGGAGGACACTTTTTACATTAAGCAATGACACAGTTTCATGGACACTACAAAGTGGCTTTCACCTGCTCTAGAAAGCATGTTCAGCTTATATGGGAACTAACTGCCTTAAGTGGTCTGGGAAAGACTTTAGATTTATCATAAGCCAAAGTAAAAATAACCAACTGAGCTCATCTCACGAGAAGGAGGAAGAATCTACCTGAGCCTTTATTGAATAAATCATCAAGATAATGTAGGTCATTTGAATTCTGACCAAAAAAAAAATGTTTATTTTTATGGTAGAGCTTATCATGATTACACGGGGAATTTCATATTCTTGAAATCCAATTATGACTGATTCCTGCCCACCGAGCCCCTCTTATATTTGAGTAACAGGGAAAACTATTTGATTTTATTTTTCTGGTTGTTTTTAATGTATGAATTAAATAACGGACAACATGTGACTACTTCAAAGTGCATGAAACAAAACAAGAACATAAAAGACCATTCAGGAAGGTGTCATTGAAAACAAACAAACATTGACAACAAACAAAAACCTGGTTTGGTTTGTTCCTCAGGGGGTTGAGAGAAGATCCCATACGATTTCAGATCACTTGCCTAATTAGAGGAGAAGAACTGGAACCCCTGTCTTCAATTGCCAGGAGGACCAAGGAGAATAGCAATAATAAAGCAGTTCTCACAGGGGCTCCAGATTGAGGTGCACAGTGGAGTTACTCCGGAGGTAGCTCACCTTGGGCTTCCTCAGTAAGATCATTAACATAACCAGCACTCTCCACTTAAAAAAAAAGGAAACAAAACAAAACACAAAATAGGAGTGGAAGACCGGGAACAATCCGGAGGCTGCTGGATAGGGAAGGAGGGTATTTTCTCAGCTGGGTTTCCCTGCTCAGTCATTCTGTTAAGTCACGCTTGCTGCTTCAGGAGCCCGGTTGCCGTCTCCCTCTTTGCAGCCTTCAGACACGCGTGCTGCCCGTCCCTTGCACAGACACATGTGCCGGGCAGTCTGGGGGGCCGTTGGCACTCACCGTGGTTACGGACGGCTGCAGGTTCAGATGCAGGCAGTCTAACGAAAGCACATGCATCGCTGACTGCTGCAAGATCCTCCCTGACATACAGTTTCTCAGTTTCGACACGAAAAGCATCGTTTCCTCCTCAGAAGTCAATTTACAGCGTTGATACCAAAAACCTCCAGGGGGAAAAAAAAAATCTACAACACTGGACAGATTTTCTAACAAGAGGCACTTTTATCCTATCCTCTCTTTGATAAGCAAATCCTCAATGTTTGCTGAAGTGGGTTAAAAAAATCGACTCAAAAAAACCAGAGAAGCGAAGTAAAAGCAAAGGTGACATCTTTCTTGACGAATGGGAAGGAGAGGTCATGAAGGAGGGAGACGTTTGGCATCTTGGAGCTGGAAGGTTGTAGTGACAGTGAAAGAGGAAATCCTAAATGCATTTACCCTGCTCTGCTTGGTACTGAAAAAGCAAAACCAAAAACAACCAAACCTACTGCTGTTTAGTGGGTTTCAATCAGAGAGCCCTGGAAGGGCAGAGCAGAAGTGCCCACAGAGCTTCCGTGGGTGGCGCGGTCATCTTTGCAGAAACCACTGAGCCACCGGGGCTCCGCTGCTCTTACTGTGCTGCGTACACACACACACACACACACACACACACACACACACACACACACACACACACCCCTCCTGGTGAGTTCAAAAGAAAACAAACACACATAAGAAGACAGCAAGGTGACCATTTGATAACAGGTAAGCATATTTTCACAACGCATTCCAATACCAGGGAAACGGTTTTGCAGTCATTTAGAAATGCTCACTCTCACCCGTGCATCCCCACTCGCCTCTCATGTAGGGATATTCATCCATGCTTCTGCAATAGCAAATCAAGCACACCCCCACACACCCCACCCCCACACACACTCCCCCACTCCCAGCAGAGGATCCTACCTTCCCAGCTTGGCTCATCACACAACGCAGTCAGGTCCAGCTGGGGCACCTCGGGGACAAAGCTCTCCTGCTGGCCGGTTGCATCTTGATTCCGGGGCAGTTTGGTGTCCGGGAGGCTGGGATGTTCCTGGATCTTCATTGTGGAGCTCTGCAATAACAGCACAATGTCCCCAAATCCGGACTGCTCATCAAAACCCCAACACGCCTCCATTAACTGCACGCCTGGATGAAACCTCCCAAGCCCGAGCCATGGATGCACCCGGCACAGAAATCAAAACCATGGCTCGGAGGCTCCTTGGATCCTAGCTGGTCACTTGCAGGCAGAGAGCCACCGTCCATCTGCTCGCTCTCCTGTAACTTTTCTTCTCTGAGAGAGACAAGATGACTTCCTGGGGCTGCTCTTCCTGATCACTGCAGCCAGCGGACAGTCTTGATTATCACTGATTGGGGCAAGAAACCAGGGAAGGGAGTTTGTAGGCTGTAAACAACACCACCACAAGCAGGCACGGCCACCGCGGTTGCTAAGGCTGCAGGAGCGACGTGGTGTCTTTTGCAGGCACGCAAGCAGACGTCTTTGCCCCTTAGGTAAACAGTCCTGCAGGGCGAAGGGCTGCTCCCCTGCCAGCAGCCTCCCGGAGACCAATTCCTCGGGGGAAGGAGAACGGTCCCAGGTTTTCTGTGGCTGTTTGCTCACCAAGTGTGGGAAGAGCAGTCTATTTAGGGAAGAGCTCTGGGTTGTAAAGCATTGTTGCGCCATCCCACCAGCAGAGGGGTCCAGTGGCTCATCATGACCAGCAGTAAGAAGCACGGTGCTGGAAATGAGCCAAAATGACACAAGGAACAGGATTTTTTTTTTTTATAAAGTAAAAAGCCAAGAGCTGGCAAGTCGGTGATGCATGATGTATACTTTTATTTTTTTTTTATTTTTTATTTTTTTTGATGTATACTTTTATAAAGATGCAACGGTCCCTTGTCTCCACACGCTCGTCATCTACTCTGAATAGCACATGCTCAGCTATTTAGGGCTTTACTCATTAGCTGCCTCCATCAGGCTGAGGGGTCTGGGGGCTGGGAGAGCCCTCCCTCCTCCAAAGGCTGACATTTCATGGAAGCAATTTTGTTGTTTGGTTTTAAGCATTAAATTCATTTTCTTTATCCTCGCTCAGTTTGATAGTTTGTAAACCCAACCACTGGCATTTTTCCCTTTCATAGAATTATAACCCAGGGTGTTTAGCGAAAGTGTGAATGTTTCTCCAAAGATTTTCCTTGAAAGTAACTGGACATTTAGTCCAGCAAATATATTATGAATGGAAAAAACACAAAAGACATCTGGAAATCATAAATGGTTTCATTAGCCGATGAAAAATGGCCTAAGGCTGAAAATAAAACACGACTTAAGGCTTGCAGCTACTTTTAATAGCCACCCAACCCACTCTGATATCACCAAGGGAATATACAAGGCTTTTATTGCTACATTTCCAGGAAATGATGTGGGACGACCAGTACCGTCTTCTCGTTTGAGACAGAATGAAATAGCAAGAATCTGTTCATGGTAACCTACTAAAGTCAGATGGAAAAGCCAAGAGAACCTTGGGCTTGACGTGAGGGGGTGGGAGGATGGGGGTGAGGTGGGTGGAAAGTTTATGCATGCATCTCACAACAATTATTTTTCCCTTGAGCTGAATCCTAACGTGGGCCAGGGTTGAATAAACAAACGTGGTGCTCGGCTTCCTGAAAGTGACAGGGTCAGTCACCAGTCTCTCAGAGGACATGTTCGAGTATGCAGACAGAAAAGACAGCTCTCAGTAAAGATTTAAAACTAGAGATATCAAGAGGAGAAATGGTGCAAGAAGCATAGTTTCCTAGTCTAAGTATGGTACTTTGTTCAGGGGGAACACACACACACACACACACACACACACAGCACACAGTCACTTAAAGCAGAATGCAATGGAGAGGATGTGCCTTTAGCTTACAGGGAGCCCTGGGATTGAAGCGTGGCCCTGACCTTCACTAGCTCAGCCCTCTGGCTGAGATGCTGTACTTCTGTGAAGCCCTACTTCCTAAACTATAAAATGGCATCAAGGATACCAGTTTTGCAAGGCTGTTTCGAAGATCTGGGAGAAGGTCTGAAAAGCTTCTAGAATGGTGTGTGAAGCACAAAAACACATAAATGGGGGCTCTCACTACTTTCAGTTTAGTCGGCACCCTGGGAAGATGCGGAAAGCACTCGGCCCCATCTCAGAATCACCAGAGAGAGGAGTGGGAACCAAGGCACGGAAGCACCTGTGGCTGGATGCAAAACGAGTCCTACGGTGTAGTCCAAAGTTTTAGGTGGTTAATGAGGAAATATTAGAGAAAAGCGCTCCCTATGAATACTGGTGACGCCATGGTTAAGCATTGGCGGCTAGCTGAAAAAGGTGGGCAGCTCAATCCTACCTAGCTGCCCTGAAAGAAAAAGAACTAGTAATCCTATAAAGATTATAGCCTAGGAAAGCCAATGAAGCAGTTCTGTCCTGTCATGGGAGGCCACTCTGGGTGGAAAATCAACTCAACGGCACCTAACAACACAACACCACAATGTTCCGATGATGTATCGGGAACATCAATTTTGACTTGAGGAGTAAGCATGGGTAAGGTCTGAAGGCAGAGAGGTGTTGATAAGAGGAGCTGAAAGAACAGGTGTAAAGGCAGGTAAGACGGCAACGGGGTGTCCTTGGCCAACAAGCAAGAGGAGTGGTTTTATCATTGCTACATTGGAAAATCACCAATTTCAAAGACAGAAAACTTAGCAATATTTTTCTCTATTTTTTTCCCACCCAAAATGCCTGGCATTATTAATCCCGTCAACAAAATTATTTCAGTGCACTTACTTTGTGCTGAGCTCTGAGCGCGACCCCCCCAAGCCTCTATCCTGGTCCTTGTTGAGTGAGTGGGGAGAGACTCCAGAGTGCTCAGCAGAGTTAAGAGGACAGTTAAATTTGAAATACTATGGCAGCGAACCACTTCATATTCACAAGTAAATAGCCCTCCTCTGTGTCCTAGTGCAAAATCTTATCAACCAATTTCCACGGTCATTTCTCCTACCAAGGCCATTGTGATAGTTACATAATCTGTTGTTAATTTGAGAGGATTACAAGTGAAGAGGTGGAGTTTAGCCTGTCAATCGTCATAGTTTGATGACCTCATTTGGAGGCGCTAAAGAGATAAATAGCTTGCTGGAAGCAGGGCACAGGCTCACTTCCTGGGAGACATTGCAGCTGACAAGACACACGGAGCAAGGCAAGTGCCCTGAGCTGGAGGAGGTACGTGGAGACCCCCGCCAGTGCTGAAATGCTTACAACGCCACTGGATCCACAAGACTTCCCACCCACTGCACTCAGCATCATTGTATGTGTTTCGTGAGTCTGAAGAGGATTTTATAAATCGGTATTGGATGTATGGGCTAGTATCAGACTATGGACTTGACTTGAACTGGGCTGGGATGTTTTCTTAATGTACAATTACTCTTTATAGAACGCTCTTTTCTTATATACACATGAGTGTCTATGAATTTGTTTCTCTAGTCTGCCCAGACTAACAGTCATATTTCCAATTACCGATCCTTCCTCTTATTTCCAACATTCACATTGCCATCATCAGTGATTAGCAATGCATCTTGACTGCACATGTGATCAATTTCAGACAACAGGAGTTGGTAAAAAATCTTTAATTTCTTCATCATTGGCTTCCGTGGTTGGTGAGGACATTTGAAAAATAGTTGCATTAGCTGGGTTTCCTTGTATGCCTATGGCTATTGACCAATCACTGACAACACTATACTTCAGAATAGATCTTGAAATGCTGTTCTTGACAGTGAATGCGAAGCCCTTCCTCCTCAGTTGGTCATTTCTGCCCTCATGTAATCATTGAATTAGAACCAGTCCATTTCAGCTCACTGATGCCTAGGATATCAATCTTTATGCATCCAATTTAGTGTTGGATGATTTCCATCTTTTCTAGAGTCATACTTCATATGTTTCACATTTGGATTATTTATGTGTTCTTGTAGCTAGCTGTTATTTCTCCTTTTGTGCTATGCCATGTCAGCAAACGAAGGCCGTCTAAAGCTTTGGTCTATCCATGTCACAGAGGGTGTCTAATTTGAGAAGGGAGTGCTACCCATCATATTTTGAGTGCTTTCCAACTTCTGGGGCCTATCGTCTGGCACTCTATCAGACCACTTTGTGATGCAATGTCTAAGGGCTTCACTGGCCCCCTTTTTCCCCTCTCAGAACACTGTCAAGACCTTCTTTTTAGTCTGTCTAAATCTAGAAGCTCTACTACAACCTTTCCAATAGGAGTGATCCTGCTGGTATTTGAAATAGTGATGACATCGCTTCCAGCTGCATACAAGCTACTAGAGCACATCACACTGATAGAACGATGGTGGATACTGGGTTCGAGGCACTGAAGTTACAGGAACAACAAAGAGATGGGATACAGTACAGAGGAGAAACACTGATGATGTGTCAAGTATTATGCATGTATGTTATAAAAGGGAAACTCGGAATGCAATGAGAACAAATACTGAGAGAACTCACCGTACCTGAGGCTTCTGGTGACATTTTGCATTTAAGTCAAGGGGCATTAACTACTAATCTATCAGTCAAATGTTTGCCAAGACTGCCCTCCCTGGCCAGGTTTGGCTTCCTCTAGTCCCAGACTCAATAAGCTTCAAATAGTTGGTGAATTTTTGTCCCTCCTTTTTCCCTCTTTGTATAGAAAGATATGGATAGGTACATGGATAACTCATAGCTCTCCAGAATCTGCTATACTATCAGTTTGCACAAGAAGTATGGTAGTTACATGATTTTATGTCAACCCGAAGATGTATAAAAGTGTGGGGGTGGAGTGGAGCCTGTCAATAAAGTCACAATCTGATGGTGCCTCCTTTTGAGTTGGCCTTCTCATAAGGAGCACCACCCCCCTTCTCTCTCTTTGCCTTCCTGCTGGCTGACCCTGATAGTGCCCAGAGCCCTAGAGATGGGTCCACAGCTATTGCATCCTCAAATCTTTGCACCCACCAGCCTGTGATCTCCCTGTATTCTGCATCATTGCTCATGACTGCGTGAGTCTAAAGAGGGACTTATGGGCTAGTCTCAGACTATGGACTGGAGTTGGACTGGGCTGGGATGTTTTCCTGATTTATAAACTTTCTTGATATAAAGCTCTTTCTTACACATATTTGAGTGTCTCTGGATTTGTTTCTCTAGTTAGCCCAGCCGAAACGCAGTGTTAATAGTGAAATCACAGTGTTACTAGAAAAGCCACAGAGAACCATAAACATTCAGTGTTTTGCCTAAGAAAGGATCAAGGACTCCAAAATCAATGTGACTCTCAAGGCTTTGGTCGCTTGTCAAGACTGGAATGCGCGGGAAGTCAATGTAAGTAAACAGAGCTGAGATCCAAGCCCATAGTCAAATCCTAACGTGTCCACGAAGCATTACTACACACTGCCATCCGGTCTGTTCCCACTCATAGTGACCCTGTAGGGCAGGGTGGAACTGCCCAGGGGGGTTGCTGAGACTGCCAACTCTTTATGGGGGTAGGAAGCCTCATCCTTTCCCCTCAGAGTGGCTGGTGGTTTCTGATGGCTGACCTTGTGGTTAGCAGCCCAACGTGGCCCCACCATGCTGCTGGGGCCCTCCCATGAAGAGCAGGGAAATTGAAATAACGCAGGCATCCACGCGTGTCCGTTGAGATAGCTCAGAAATTCCTTTACCGTTCTTGGGGCAAATAATAACCTAGACTTGAGACCTTACGATACGCCTATCAATGTCTCATCTTGATTACAAAGCCTCGTCTGCTCCTCGTTTCTCCCCCCTCTCTCCTCTCGTCACATTCTCTTCTGTTTTGAAGCAGAGGGAAGAGGAAAGGAACTTTGGAGGTGCACTGGTTAAGTGCTCGGCTGGTTACCCAAGAGGTGGCAGTGTGAGTGTTCCACCAGCTTCTCTTGGGGGGACAGATGTGGCAGTCTGTTTCTGTACAGACTCAGAACCTCAGAAACCCCACCAGGGCGTTTCTTCACTAGGCCCTGTGAGTCAGAACGGACTCCGCAGCAGTGGCTTGCCTTTTGTTTCTAGAGAAGAGATGGGAGCTCACGGCACACAGAATCTAGGAACAGGAGTGGGAATAGTGATCCCAGAAGGGTCGGGGGAAGAGGGGAGAGGAAGGGAGCAAAGGGGAACTGATCACAATGATCCACAGACAACCATACACCCCTCTACAGGGGGAAGACAACAGAAAACATGGGGGAAGGGAGACAGCAGTCAGTGTGAGAGATGAAAATAATAACAATGCACAATCTATCAGGGAGTTATGAGGGTGGAGGGCGGAGCGGGGGAGAAAAAAAAAAGAGCGGATACCAAGGGCTCAATAGAAAGTAAATGTCTAGAAAAGAATGAAGGCAAACATGCCTGATTCAATCAATGTAGGGACTGTGATAAGAGTTGTATGAGTCCCCCATAAACTCATTTAAAAAAAAAAAGAAGAAAGAAGAAAATCATCGTTTTGTAAGTGCTGAATGTCTTGTTGTTATCAAAGGTATGCCTCTAAGCTCTCCTAAGCAGTCGGCTTAGAAAGCATAAAGAATGTAAACATACCTTGCAAGAATTTAACACGTCATGGACCTTATAAATCTGAGCCCAGATGATCTCGCTCAGAAATGTACCATCTATCCACCTAGATAATAATTCTTGTTTCTAGACAAAAGAGGTTCATAATAATAATCTTATAGTTTTGATATTATAGGAGAGCATAAACTATTTCATAACAGAAAATAAATTATTAGAAGAAACTGAAGCTTAACATGCAATCAGAATTCTGAGAAATCTTTATCCTAAAATGCTATCTTTTAGAATCTAGAAATTGCTAGTTTTAAGCATGACCTGTGTTTTGGATACACCCAGCTGTTCAGAGTTAAACAACCAAAAAGTCTTAAGAGAGCGGAGTACTTAGTTTTTATGGTCCAAGTTGGAAGACGTATTGAAATGTCAGCCTTTTTAAAACTTCCTTGAGGAAATAATATTTTAATCTCTGGCATTTTGAAGTGATTCTAACTTTAAAAAAAAATTGCTAAGGTATCAGTAAACAACTTCTAATCCAAGCTTAGGATGAAATAGAAATGGGTAGTGCCCCTTGACCAATGGCCATGTGAAATCTCCGCGGGCCTCCCTCTTTGGGTCACATCAGTTGCCCAATTAAAGCAGAGTAAAAGCCCAGGCCAGGAAAAGAGAAGCCATGCGCACGCTTTAACACGCGCATTCAAACAAAGCACACTGAAGCCCGCAAATGGATGGTTGGAAAAACAAGGTCACAGCGATATCTCTTTGTCTTTGAGAAATAGACTCTACATCTCTTTCCGCCTGTATGTCCCCACCGGAGGATAATTGTAAGGGTAAAGGTTAATGTTTCTCATTCTAATGGAAACATGGGCGGTGGGGGAAATTCCATCCACCAATAGCTGCCATTCCTCTGCCATGTTACTCTGTAAGAATCCGGCAGCTTTCAAGGAGAATTTGAAAGAACAATATTAAGACAGTAAAATCTGCCCCTGTGGAAAATGGAATTAGAAACATTATTACATCCATGCATACCGGGCATGTGAACTTTGGGATCTCAGTCTGATGCTATGGGAGCCATGAAATAACTTATTGGTGAGCTTTCAGTTCTAGGAATTGTGGGAGGGGCGAGCAAAGCCTGAGGTTGTTTTTCATCTCTGAAACTAGGGACCCCGGCCCGCTACGAGAAGTGTAGCGGAACTATGTGGCTTGTACAATAAGACCTAGACAGCACGACCTACGTTCAATAGGAAGGACTGACAACACACGATCAACTGGGGAAAGATTTTTAAAAACAGAAAACAGATATTTTCCCAGTCTTTCATGAATCATATTGTTGTTAGGTGCCGTCCAGCCGGTCGGTCCCGACTCATAACGACCCACGTACAACAGAAAGCCATGCTGCCTGCGGAATAACACAAAATAGATATTTCTCAGTGAAAGGAACATATGCCTTCACAAGGAATGCCTTTCTGTCAGCTGTGAAAGAAAAGTAACAGGGAGAGCTTGGATTAGACTTTAACTCGTAGCCCGATTTTATCTCACAGAGAATAATGCTATGATGACAAGTATTATTAATAGGGAATGTTTAATGCGTGCCAGCCGTGGAATGGGTGCTGGCTGGCAGCCGCACGTGGGTTATACATCTAGAAGGAAAGGACCTGGCATAAGGGAGAAGCATTTTAGATTCTTTCCCTGTGACTCAAGGCACTGCAACCGGAGCGGTCCACAAAAACATCGAGGTAAATTGTGTTCTGTGGGAATTTAGCTTGGGTGCCACGTGGAATTTATGAGTCAGTGTCATGAAGTTCATCCACAAAGGTTGCGCTACACACTTTTATCTCCTGGAGGAGAACTGCAAAGACCTCTCTCTCTAGGAGGCTAGAAAAACAAGTTCAATGACATGATGAGTGGGTGCTTGCTGTGAGCTGCAGGAGATGGCAGGGACAAGATGAAAACGGGGTGTGTGGCTGGAGGGGAGACCGTGGGGAATCTGCTCTGGGGAGACACCTAGAGACAAGGAAAGCATGTAGGCATGTCTGAGTCTAAAGAGAGAAACACAAACAAGTTGGACATTACAGCTAACAGACGTGGCATGGAAGCTGTGGAGTCAGAAAGAGGAAGCATCTCCCTCCTGTTAGAAGGCTGAGTAATGAAGAAATCAGGGAGTCCAGGAAACAGGAGGCTTCCACGGCTCTAAGGGTGGCAGTGCCTTTAGCTCTCAGCAATTTTCTGCAGAAAAAAAAAAAAATGTGACTGTTCCTTTTCTTAAGAACAGCGTCCGTAGCTACCGGATTCTTAATCTGCTAAATTGGAAAACGCCGAGGTGGGCAGGGACGATGGGTGTTATTAGATCCCCGCACTGTCCATGAATTAGGTCAGTGCCTATCCAAGATTAAGAATCACAGGACTACTATTGGTCTGATAGAGACGGAAGGAACCCAAGAGATGATTGCCCTAATTCACCCTTTTCATGCGGTAATGAAACCATTCTCGGAGGAGGCCACCTTTCAACCAAATCATTGACGGGCTCCTGAAGCCAACAGTAACACCTGTGAGGAATGTGCGCCTCAGGACACGCAAAGCTACAGACCCAAAGGGCAACAGAGTGAGGGAGGGCAAGGAAGCCAGCCAGTGGGAGGGGAAGCTCAGGATGGAAAGGGGAGCGGCCGAACACACTGTAGAGATAGCACCAAACCTCATGAGAAAAATTGTGGGTGGACTACTGAACGAAAAACTAATCTGATATGTAAACTTTTGCTGAATGAAAAAGAAAACGTTCACACACAAAGCAAGAAAACAAACACACGGAAAGAATCATCCAGTTAACAGAAGAGGTCTATAAATAATAAATCTATCAAGAGTCAGAATCCAAAAGCAGATTGGAAACGCTTCTTGGCAAAAGAAACGGATAGCAAGATTGGAGCTGGTGATGGAAACATTTGGAAGGAGTAGACAAAATACACACACGAGTGAAGAATGGGGTTTGTCAGAGTTGCAAGCAGGAGACACAAAAAGCTTGGGTTGTTTGGGAATATGCTTCAAGGAAAAGGAGAAGCTAGGAGAGTCACCGAAACTTTAAGCTATAGACAGGAAAAAGGGGGTGGGGTGGGACACTTATTCTCCATTGCTTCCTTAAAATGTGATTCAAAACTTACAAAACAAATGAACAAACAAAAAAATCGCATTAAGTAACTAACTGAATTTGTGTTGATGGGGAGTTAATGAAATACTTGCTGTGATGAAGCCACTGGAATTGTCTTTATTTATTCCAATCATTAAAAAAAAAATACATCATGTCATGGAAAATCAAGCTAGTAGTTTGGGCTTTTTGGTTATGTTTTGATTCTATGGAAAACCATAAGAGAAATTTTCATCCTACTAAAGCAAAGTAATTTTAAATTTAAAAATCATACCCTCCTATCACAGCTCAAGACCTCTTTAAGCACCGGGGGAGTTACATTGCTTCCACTTATCTCTGAGCCCCAGGTGGAAGACAACAAATACCAGCGACACAGGAATATACTCACGAGTCTCACCTGTGAGCTACTCACCTCCCCTTGCTGGCCAGGGATGTCAACACTTTGATTTTCTTTGCTGCAAATAACAACAAAATCTCATAAAATGTCAATTTGTCTTACATCACGTTGTTACCTACTGATACTATGATTTCATTAGTTCTAAACCAAAATCGTACAAAACTTAAAAATGTAACAAAAAAATTAATCAAAATAAAACAGAAATACCAATCAGTAAGAATACAGAACTACATTTATCTTTGATGGCACCATGGTAGATGTTCTAATCACTTTCTTGCTATAAAATATTGGTAGTTAACAATATATTTTCTTTCAACTCGACTCTTCTTAGTTATCATACTACACACAACATCAAGTGAAGCAAATATCTTTTCACTCTCTTGGGGAAAAAGAGTAAGAAGGAAATTCTAAACTTACCTTCTATCAGATGTCAGTTCAACATCATCAGGTCTAGTCCTTTCATAATACTGTGTGGGATTGAGAATGTCCATCCTCTGTAACAAAGCAAATCATTGGTTCACTTTAGGAATGGTAAGAAAGATGCAAATCAGATGATGCCTTTCTTTAACAAAGAAAAATCAGGTAATATGGAGATAAAATCTAATTGTAGTCTACATTTTTCTTTTTAACTAAGAAACTATAAGTTTATTATGTGCTCCTTGCATAAAATAGTACATTGAGTTTTATGGTCCCTTTACTCGGGATATGTGAAAACATCTTAGTCATAATAACTGTGCTCCATGATGTCTTTATTAGGTCTTATCCATATTTTATAACTAAGCATAGTTAAAAACTCAGGTTCTCAAAGATTCAGGCTGGCATTAGCACTTGAACCTAAAATCTGACCTTGAATTGGAGCAGCAACTTTTAATTTTCTTCTACTTATTTAACATCTGTTTAGCATATTATGCCAGTGTGATCTAGGGTAACACACAACTTGTACCTGACCTGTGAAACATCCACAAACAAGAGTTCACCGAAGAGCATTTTCTTTCTGAGATACTTAATGTTAGTCTTCACATTAGCTATGATGGAAAAAATATAAACAAGATACTTACTTTGAGCATTGCTTTCAAGCTGACCGGGTGGGCTCAAGGCTGATCAGGGGCTATATTTTAAAGTTTTGGTTTTTTTAAATGACTGACTCTGCGAATATGGCTAGTGCCTTTTAAATACAATTCACATGACTGGGCACCGAATAAGTAAGCAATAACTACAAAGGAAGATTACAAGTATGCAAACAAGAGCACATTTAAATTCAGCAGGCAAAGAAACATAGCTGTCTTGGAAAATTTGGCCCTTAATTTTATTAGACTTAAGGACTCTCATCAGCATTGAAAGGAATTTAAGCATAGCCTACTCCCCTCATCTCTATCATTTTGAAAAAAAATAATAGTGTCCCACATGGATTAAAGCAATGTAAGTTAATCTACATATTGGTCATTGTCCATTAGGAAATAAGAAATTTGATTAAGCAAATCTAAGTAATGCTCCTAATAAGCCTATGAAATCAACACACATAAACATTTCTATAATATCACTATATTATTTAAGTAGAAAACTAATCTTTGGGTTGGTAGACAAACGGATTGGTTTCCATTCATATTGGTTTGGTCAATTCGTGTGATGAAATTTGAAACCCTGAGCTCTGCCCAAAAATAGAGACCAAAGGAAAACAGTATAACACCCTCACAGCTCTCATGGGGCTGCCGGAGTCAGAAGCCTGGCTTTCAGTCCTAGCGCTATCATTTATCAGTTGGGTGGTTCTATTTGAAATCCCAATCTCCTCATCTGGAAAATGGAGATAGCAACACTATGTACCCCACTATCATTAGGGTCAAGTGAGATAATGTATGTTAGAGGATTAGAAAAACAGCTGGCACATTGAAAGGATATCAGCTGTGGGCGGTGATGATGTTATTTCTAAGCTATGAAATCTACAATGAAAAGACTTCCCTCCCATTTTTTCATAATTCAGATGGTGTCCAAAAGCTGCATAGATAGTGCTCATGCATGCCATTTGAACGATGAACCTTGATTTACACAGTTAGAGAATGCCCATTTAGGTAATCTTAGAAAATGGCCCTGTGAAATTAGAAAAAAAAATTACGACAACATTCAGTTATAGCTACAGATTTCTACCTTTAAAATTTTTGTTCAAAGAAGTCTCTGTAAATTGATTCCCATTAAATCACAACATGATTGCTCTCATTCTCTGGAGAAGATTTTCCTTTAAGAGAGGGACATATATATGATAAAGACCCCTTGTTTGCTTCCACTGTGGATTTTCAATAGATTATATCAAACTCTTTAGTATACTCTCTAGTGCAGCAGCATTAGGGTCTTCCTAGAGCTCTGATACACATGAATTCTGTTTAAATATTATTAGGGAAGCACGCTCTACCTTTAATTTGTTTAAAAACCTGTCAGTAAAATGATGCATTTATAATTATGTGCAAATGACTATTTCCGAAGAAAAAAAAATCTTTAGATTAAGGTTCAGAAATCTTTAGAAATAATGAGAAAAGACAGAAAATAAACTGAAACAGTATTATATGAGTTCAGAGATATTTTTGTTAAGATGTTAGTTAATAGATTTTTTTCCTGAAAAGAGCCCAATATAATTGAGACTTACAGAACCAAGTTAAATTATACAAGAGAAAACATAAAGGTCTGAAAAAATGTTTAGCTGATCCCTGGAAACAGCAATTTCTTGAACTCTTTTGAAATGTTTGATCATATTTAAGAATTCACCAGGATCTTGGGAGGTGTAATTTATAAAGGGTAATTTTCAGTATTACTTGCTATTCCTTCTACAGCTTCAAAATAATTCCAATCATCATGTTGTTTGTCACATATTTGAAACTGCTGAATATTCATGGGCTTGTTTCATTGAACAGCATACAAGTACCCAGTGTTCTTTGCTCAAGTAGTTGGGTTGCACTGACACCGTTTGGAAATAGGGCGGTGCTGAAGCATGTGCTCCAGTGGCCAATATCCCAATGAAACTAACAAGGGTAGTAAACATCATAAGTACACGAGAAAACCCACCTATTTTTATGGGTATAAAATTTGAATGCTTCGTAAATTCTAATTCCCATTCTTTGTCTAGGGATGAAGGAGAGAAATTATAGAAAGAGATAGTTCCCCTTTGCTGAGATGAAGAAATGGGCAAATCTCAAAGTACAAGTCATGAGATCTGATAAAACAGAGTGTTTGCATTTATATGTGAAATAGGTCACTGGGCTTTCAGATGTGCAGTACAGTATCGTCCATTGAGAAAATACTGACTCAGTATCTTTTGCAGTTGAGGTTCTAAACAGTCTAAAACCAACCAAACACAAAAGCCTGAAGTTGATTTTGACTCGTAGAGATCCTTTACTGGGCTTTTGAGGCTGCAGACAGAGCACCTGGTGAAAACCACCCACCAGTCTAACACTTACTTACTTACCCAGCAGTCTAACACTTACTCAACAAGAGTGGCTCATTAAGGTTTTTATTGATTAAAGGCTAAAGTATCATAATGCCTCTTGTTGTTGTTGGGTGCCATCTGGTTGGCTATGACCCACAGTGCCCCTCACTGCACCATCCTCATCATTGTTCCTAGGTCAGAGCCCACTGTTGCAGCTGTAGTGTCAATCTTTCCCCTTGAGGGCCTCCTCTCCTTAGCGGCCCCTCCTCTTTACGAAGCATGAAGTCCTTCTCCGGGGACTGGTCGCTCCTGACAATAGGACTTTGCCCTATGTAAGACAAAGTCTTACCTTCAAAGAGCCCTCTGGCCATATTTTTTCCAAGTCAGATTGGTTTGTCCTTTTGGCAAGTCCATGGTACTTAGAATATTCTTCTCCAGCACAATTCAAATGAATCAATGCTTCTTTAGCCTCCCTTCTTCATAGTCCTACTTTCACTTAGATAAGAGGCAATGGAAAAAACATGGCTTGGGTCAGGTCCACCTTAGTCCTCAACGTGACATCCTTGCTTTTCAATACTCTAAAAAGGTCTTGTGCAGCAGATTTACCTAATGCAACTTTTGATCTCTTGACTACTGCTTTCATGAGCATTGATTGTGGATCCAAGCAAGACAAAATCTTTGACAACTTCAACCTTTTCTCCATTTATCAAGATGTTACCTACTGGCCCAGTTGTGAGGATTTTTGTCATCTTTACATTAAGTCACAATCCCTGCTGAAGGCTGCAATCCTTGATCTTCAACAGCAAGTGCTTCAAATTCCTCTCGCTTTCAGCAATCAAAATCCTGTCATCCACATATCACAGTTGGTTAATAGGCCTTCCTCCTAATTCTTGTAGAAATGCTTTATTCTATAAAATTCTATGCTAATTACTTTCTAATGTCATCTTTTAAAGATAGTGGTGTCCTTAAAAAACAGAAGAGATTATGCTTTAAAGCATCATTTAATGAAATTGCTTTCTGCGTAGACCTTCACCAAAATAAAATCCAGTGTATAATCCTGAAAATTTTGATCCATACAAGCCATTTTTATAAGTGAACTTCAAAATAGGTTTCTATGATCTAATTGAATATCTGAGGGAAGTGAATTCTAAAAATCACCACCCTCAATTATAAAAATAATCTCAGCTTCAAAAGAGCAAACACCTTGAAAACGTTGGCTGTAGGCAGGAGAATCTATTTTCTGTTCTTTTCCCCCTTGCATGTTGGCACTGAAAGCTAAGCTCAAAACCTGTTTGACTACCAAAGCACTTGAAAACACTTGCAGCAAAAACAAATGTGTGTTTTAAAGCTATAAAATGCTGACAACGCTCTTATAAAGGACACACACACACACACCCTTCTTTCAATATACAAAACAACTCAATCTGAAGGCTGTGCGGGCCCCTGCTAGTCAAAACAGGTTCATTATTCTAACCTTTAGCTGCACGAGAAGGGGATCCTTCGATTATCTCATTAACAACAGATTAATGGCGGATCTGAATTTCTATGTATTTGTACCTACATGTGAGTTCTTACTGTTTCAAATGGTACACGTTAGTCATTCTTGAAGAAAGAACTGCTGGTGCTGGAATTGAAGGCCTATGGAAGAGTTTGCTAGTGGTTTACCTAAACCCATCCTTCTTTTCTTCCATAATAATAAATAGCCATCTGTCCAGAAACAAGCCATCTGCCAGACTCTCTGGCAATTACTTCTGACCACGCGCCTCAAATCTCTACAACAATGTGAGCAGCATTATCTGTGGCTTCCAGCATGGCCACTAGCTAAATTCCTTGAGGTTCCTTCCCTCTTGGTGTGAGCCGGGATGGAGGAGAAAGCTGCAGGAGGAAACTCCTTGCCGATGGGTAGGTGGCTGGCATCTCTGAGTAAATGCACTGTGTGAGACCTCCAGTTTTCTCCCACCCTGCTGAATTCTTGCTTTAGAGCATCACTTGAGAAACAACTTAGATTGTGACCTGAGACTGTGTTACTCCAAACACAAGTTACTCTAAATTGATATCATGGCCATCCACTCATTTTTTTCC